AAGTTGGAGTCATAATGTGTGTATAATAATGTGATGGTAGACATGCTTTATATTCATTATAACTTGAATTGCATATCTGTAAAGGCCACATAAAGTGGGTCATATTCAAACTTTTTGACTACCTTTGGTAATTTAGCCGACATCTGAATCAGATCTAACCACACAGCATTTTGTGCCACGTTTAAATCCTCTGGATTATAGTCCATACTGCTAAGGATATGTAACTTTGTTGGATCTAAAAAATATTAACTAATCCTCCCAATATAAGATCACATCCATCTACCTCAAATGCTTAGTAGGCTAGTAGCTGGGCTCCTTACCTGCCAAACTTTTGATTTTTCATGTGGTTCCAGGCAGCTCGCGTCACCAAAAAGGAGCCTCTCAAGTGAACTCTGTGAATCAGGTCTGAAATGGAGAGAAAGCAACATCGTGAACACCTTTTGCACTTTTGTTATTTCACATTAGAAAATGTTGGATCAGATCCAGCTAGTTGCTTCTCAAACTCCCACACAGGCAACTTGTTTTCATAGACATCAAGTACATCCACAACAAACCAATGTTAAAACATGTTTTACTTATAGCATGGTGGAACATGAGAGTATGAGATGAAACAAACAAAGGTGAAAACTGTGATACGAGTTCCCCCCCCCCATACACAGTAAGAGTTAATAAGAGTAAAGAAAATATTTAAATTACCCCAGTCCAAATCACTCGTCCGGGCAAATGATCGGTCACGAAGGATCCTTGGCAGAGAATACACAGAGAATACTTTTTGACAAAACTGAAGGATCTTGTTAACATGATTATAGTGGTGCATACTCCAATTAATAATCTAACTACAATTAAAGCGCACCTTAAAAAACAGATGATGTTATTTAATATAGAAAACAGTTTGATTATTAGAGTGCAAATAGTTACCCAGCATTGTTTACAAGAACATCTGGAGAAAAAAGATAGATTTCAAATATCAGTTAAAAACTATTATTTCATTGAGATAATTTCATCATGATAAGTATCCAAACAATGCTCACCAATTCTTCCAAATGCATCCAATGCTGATTGGATCACTTTTTCTCCATCTTCCACAGAATCTGTGTGTGCATTTGAGAGACGGTCACAGAGTACTTTTGGACATTTTCACATTTCATAAACAATGAATCTTACATTATTTCTGTATTTGTGGGTTTCCTGTAGGACTGGATCTATTATTCTGTTGTTGGTTGTTTAATTATTGTTTGTTTACATTGGTATTGGTTGCATGTAGGTCCATAGTGCCACCATATGAGTGATGAGGAGAGAGGCTTATGAGAAGGTTGAAAGTCTCCCCTACATGCTCAGTATGTTGAGTAATGAAACGAGCTGAGTCACCTTTTTCAATGGCAAAGAAGATTGCTATTGATACCAAGATTGGCATCATAGCTTGTTATAAAATGGATAAAAGTATGCCAACATTTGAATTACATTTAAAAATAAATCCCTCTGTCTAATCTGCCTATACAACACATTACAGCATTGTCTTGAATTGTAATTTAAAAGGTTTTCTAACATATGTAAAATGTACAATGGTGAGAGGGGACACCTTTTTCTATAAAACAGCTAATATTCTCACATTCATTATTTTGATTATCAAGTTCATTATTACATAAGCTGAACACCACGAGGTCAACAAAAGACAACAATGAGAGATGTAGATAATGATGTGCTAGAGGAGAGAAAGACTCAAGACAAGATCTTAAACTTCTCACCATAGTTCGCCAAGGCCTTGCCTCCCTTCGCTCTTATCTCCTCCACCACCTTATCCGCAGCGGCAGAACTCTTTCCGCCCCCTTTAGTGTCGGCCCCAAGGTCATTCACTTTATTGCAACAAAAAGAAAAAGATTAGCAATAATGGGGTGTGTTCCGCAACTCTCCACGAGTGATTAGGTTAGGAGAAAAGTGTAGCTAAGCTGATTCCTTGTCAGAGTTCAAGGGCAAGTTCAGTCCAGGCAGCAAGGAGAGCTACTATTTTGGGATGGACAATGTTCTTGCCAACACCTGAGCCAACTGTGTAATCTAAAAAGTAACATCATTACAGTGAAAGTCAATGAGATGCACATTTCTGTATGACATGCCTAATTTTGAAGGAATGATTTAACTCCTAAATCTCTAATGATGCACCCATTCAACTTTTGCTCTCTTGATAATGAGTACACATTTTATACAAGTGCTCTTTTTTAAATCACTCACAATTAAATATAATAGTTGGGGTACATTTCTTAAGTATCATTCTGACCATGAGACAGGGGTTGCTGTGTGAACTAAATCGAACTGGTAGCAGAGACAATATAACGCTGATATCCAACCCTCTTAACATCAGTATCTGAATCTAATCAGAGTCCGGTGTATCGGGTTAATTAATAATTGAAAAGATAACCAGTATCAGGAAAAAAAACTTAAAATAAATCATCTGGAACCATGCTGGGTGAAATATCAACAAGCACAAGCTCTCCATGGCAAAGAAAACATAAATAGGTTGAGGGTGCACTTAGTTCACCAAGTACTAGTGGTTAAAGCCTGGCTACACAAACAACAGTAATATCCACAATAAATGTTCAAAAAATGTAGGTAAAGGGGCCAATATATCTTATTTACCTATAACTGAGGCGCCTCTTTCAGCAAAAGCCAGTGCATATTCTCTGCCGAGACCTGTGGAAAGTAAGACAAAGATGTAAAATCCCAGATTGTGCTTTAACCGAATAAAACACCCTCATCAGTAGGGCTGCTCAATTAATCGTATTTTAATCGCAATTACGATTTTGGCTTGCAACGATTATGAAAACAACATAATCGAAATAAAACGATTTTGTATTGGTTTTTCAGTTGAATTATACTTAAAGTTCAGAGTAATCAACTGTTAAAAACATACTGTTCACATTTTTTTTCAATAAATGGATGTTTTCAAAGTAAATGGATAATCGTTTTTAATAATCGTGATATCAATTATTGACCCAAATAATCGAGATTATGATTTTTGCCATAATCGCATCCCTACTCATCAGCCATGAATGTTTTATAGCCAGGCTCAGATTAACCCCTTTGTAAAACATGAACAAATACATGCAGATAATGAATGCCATATAACTTTGTTTTAATAATGTAATTTGACAGTCAGTGATGACTACAGAAGAAACAGGAATATATACAATTCCTTACATACATTTTTTAATTGCATTTTAAATTAAAAAATATTATGGTACATTAAAGTATAACAAATTAGTGCAACAGCAATAACAGATCTAAGATCTAAGAACAAACTATTTAATAAGTGCAGACGATATGACACATTTGAATAGTAGGCCTACAGTATACAGCAGGAACATAATCATTCAAAATTAACCACAATTTCATAAATGGTTAGTAGTAGATAGCTAAAAAATTAAATATATGTGGTTTTAAAGCACACTGCTTAAAGGACTGAAATGCTTTATTTGTATATGCACGATAGCTAAGGGTTGTTTTGGAAACTCTCCTCTGTAGTGTCGGTTGTGTGACCCTTTACCCACTTTCCCTGGAGCATTACAAGCCGAGCCATACATGTACTTTAGACCCTGTGCTGCTCAAATGAAAAGGCTGGCGAGTACGTTGCTACTCAATATTGAACTACTTGTTGTTTATGAACACAAACCAATGTGATAAAGGTGGACACACAGCATTGTTTACTGGACTTTGCGACTGTTTAGCCAGTGTAAGCAATTAGCAAGATACCGAGTTTAACTGCTGGGCAGCTAAAACAACAGAGGGAGAAAAGGAAGACTCGTGTGCAACACTTAGCTGTCTTAATAACGCTCACACTGTTACTAAATCTCTGCAACTAGCAGGTTAGCAGCAGGAGCTAAGGTTAGAAAACATAAACGCCTTGTTATAGAAAGCAGCCTGGATAACATTCAGATATCTTTGAAAGACGACATTACCTCCTCCGGCCCCGGTGACGAGCACAACTCTTCCCTCGAAAGTCAAAGACATCCCTGTGAGTTTGTATCCTCTGTTTCAGAAACTAACAGGAGAACAGATCCTAAAGGAGCAACACTTCACTAACAGCACAGTGAACTTCGACAACTTCTACTTCCGCATTGACGAGGGGGTGGTCTCAGCAGTGGCCAATCAGAAAACCAGGATTCTATTATCTTTTTTCCTCCATTGCTGAAGTATTATACTCTCTCCTCATACTTATATTAGACATCTAGATATTTCTTTAGCTTTAACATTTATTTGTACTATTACACTTACTTTATTATGCTACTGTAAAGTGAACCCATACTATATATTTGAAATGTATTATATTCCATCTTATGATTTCCTGTCCAGTTATGAGACTTATTTAGACTAACACCCCTTTGGTGAATCAAACTTCACTTTTAATATAAAAATCTAACATCTGTGGAGTAGATTATATAGGTTTATTTTATTTTATTTTTTCTTACATAATAATCCTTGAACCCTCATGAATATCCTTTGGAATGATTAGTCTATATGTTAACTTATGTAGTAATGTGAAATACAAACCGTTTAAGATGAGTTTAATACAAAAACATGTATTACACATGTTTTGCATGTTCTTTCTGAACTACAATTAAATAAATATGATGATAATTTCATTGAATAAATCTGAAAATCTTTCATAGACCCAGAGTGCAAAGGACCCCTGAGGGTCACAGCCACATATTAAGAGCTAATGGGGGTGTAAGTAAGTTATTTAAACACACATACAGGGAGAGGGAGAGAGAGAGAGAGAGAGAGAGAGAGAGAGAGAGAGAGAGAGAGAGAGAGAGAGAGAGGAGAGAGAGAGAGAGAGAGAGAGAGAGAGAGAGAGAGAGAGAGAGAGAGAGAGAGAATCGTGTGCTCTGCGCCCGGACGTCGGTTTCGCAGAAGCTCCGAGGAGGATGCTGCTGAGACAGGATGATACTGACCAAGTATATTTCGGAGGAAAGTGCCTCTGGGGTGTCGATAACCTGGCGGGCTTTCTGCGATGGCTCATTATTAAAGAAGTGTTGCCTATATTTGTGAAAAAGGATTACATTTACCATGTTGTCGCTGCCTGAGGATATGGACTGTTACAAACACGAGCGGCGGTGTAACGCTTTGGATAGATGCCTGTGTATCCTACACGCTTTCTTCGTGTCCTTCTCTTTGTTTTTTAAACCCTTTTGGGCTGCACGTTTTCTCAAAACTGTTGAATTTAGCGCTCTTTGGACGTGAAGGATATTTGTGTCGTTGTTGGTCGTCGGACATGAGACAGTGAGGTGCAGAGACCTGTGGACAGGCGCCTTTTCGCAGACAGTATGGTACAATATTTTGACATAAGCGTTATTTTTTGTGTTACGCACTATTGCGCATGCCTAGTGGAAGATTCAGACCGCTGCCCGTCGCCACTTGGCTCCGTCCTGGCCGTGATGTAGGAGCAAAAGTGAAGGCAGCCGAGGACTAAATAAAAAATGCGTTGGCAAAGTGGTAGCGTGGCGACCCAAGGATTTGACTTTGGATCCTTCACGAAATAGACTGTGTCATAAACTGAAGAATGTCCGGGCCGCCTCGTGCAGGGGCTGAAGGAGTAGTGGTCTCCAAAGTTAAAGTGAAAAAGGAGATCAAGACAATCGTGGAGAATTTGGAAACCATCCTGGGAGACCTCAAGGATGTAGCCAAAGAGCTCCAAGAGGTAAATGACCAGGAAATACCATATAGCTTTACCAATAAACAGCCCACCATGTGTTGTGTTATCTACAGGCTACGTTTAGGGATGCTCTTTTTAAGGATCCTTACCTGAGAGGACGTGGGAGGTGGACCTCACTGGGGCCTGGGAAAGGCCACACACACACGCACACACACACACACACACACACACACACACACACACACAAAAACTCTCCCTGTATGCATGTGATCATCATCTCCCAAATGAGACACATTTGGCACAGGAGAATGTGGGGTTTGATATCACAGGACAAGGCAGCGTCTTTGCCCTGACTCACATGCTGCCATGAAAGTGAGAACATTTGAATCACTGTTCATATTTAATGGACAAGTTGGTTCAACCCGGAAGGCGTTTTTCAGTGCATTTCATCATCTTAATGCTGAGTGTTGTTTGCTGCGAACAATCTCCTCCCAGACCTTATCTTTTGTCATCACTCTCAATCTTTCGAAGTGGCTCTCTATTTCTTTACCTTAATCTCTTTTTTTCTTTTGTTATCTTTCATCCCATGTCTGTGTTTATCGCAGCCACTCATCTTTATCCTTTCATTATCTTTTGTTGCCTTCTCTCTCTCTGTCCTTCTCTCTACATAATTGTTGAAGATCAAAGCTCTGTGAGCAGTCTAATTGGATGCTCAAATGAAGTGATGAAGAAGGTTAGGGTTAGAGGTCTCTGAAGGAACCAGAAAGTATATTTGACGTTTTTATTTACAGCAAATTCTTAGAGTGCTTGCTTCAAATCAGTGTTTCATCAGCTGCCAATCTCTGCATGCCATCCTGCCATCTCAGTAGAAATAACCCACAGCCTTACCTGCTATCGTGTTTACATTCCTCCACCGGCCACACACCAGGCTTCTGGACTGCTTTGCTCAACCTCTTGCCCTAACATGACAGGCTGTCATTCTAATAAAACCATATTGCGTACAGCCTCGGGTTCCTACATTATGGATGGGCCGTCGACACAGCATCTTTCTCCTTCTGCCTCTCTGCTCCCCATACTCAGCTGAATTACGCTTCTTTTGTGTTTTCCAGCGGTTAACAGTGTCTTACAGCAGGCACCAGAGGAAAAATTAGAACAAGAAGCCATTGTAATCTGTCTATTGTGTTTCTGTGTGTGTGTTATGTGCCCTATTCCTTTTTATGTATTTATTTTGTATTTGTTTTTGCAGGAAATTATGTAAGGGATCAGTTATTCTGACACTGTGCACACTAAACACATACCTCGAGGGGTGTTACTATCAAAGCCAGTATTTAGGGTATAATCCATTTGAAATGCAGTTATCAGTTGTAACTCACAGACAGGGCTGGAGCCGAGCCTGGCTCTGAGGAGGGACCCTGCCCAGATGCTTGGCACAGCCACAGAGCTGCCTGGCCTACAGCAGGAGCTGCGCACTGGGATACATGGTATTACCTTACAGTGTGTGTCCCAACAAATTATCCTTGTAAAGACTGCATGGAGAGTTTAGCTCCATTGGCCTCTCTGCCATAGCCTTCTATCTTCCTCTCCATCTCTCCCTTTCAGTCACTCTTTCTCACTCTCTCTTTCTAGTCCTCATTCTCTCTTAGCCTCCTCTCAAGCTACTGTTTGGACATGCACTTCAAACCCTTAGATGAGCACTGGCGTATTCTAAGATGAGCATTACTAATTCAGAAAATTAGCATAAACACGTTGTCATTGTAACAATTATCTTTGAAATGTTGTAAAGGAGAAACAAGTAACCTTCCTTTCTGGATTTCTTTCTCATGGGTAATTCTAACTGTATTTAAACTATGATATAATTATCTTAAGTTTGCTCTTTATGTTGACTAAGAAACCACATTTCAGCTTGGGACTTCAAAGAAATAATAACTCCCACAAGGGAAGAGAAACAGAAACATATCTTCTCAAAGGGGAATGATTTTGGATAGACCTCTTATTTTTAAACATAGGTTATGTCTATACTTTTTGTTTAATTCGCTTTTTTACATGTGATCATCTATAATAATGTCACTTTTGGCACGTTTTATATAAATAACTGCAATTGTATTCCTTTCAGGTATTGTCACAGCATGAACTATGTATGGGAGATGTACTGTGTCCATGGATGTGCAAAACAGTGCAAGGGCTTTCTTTAAGTAGACAAAACGGGATCAGCTTATGGGACTAGACATCAATATAATAACCAGAAGTATTTTATTTCTAAGAACAACACTGTATGTCACTCTTTAGTTGTGTAATCAGTTTTTATTATGCATTTGATTGGTGGATATTGCATCAAGTTCAGTTCAGCATCATGCCCTGAATGAGTTATGCAGCATGTTTTATACAGCTATAATCTTTGTATGTTTGTACAGAACAATCACAATGTGTGCTTCTGCATCCTTACAACTATAACTCCAGTATTGCTTGTTGAATTTAGGGTGCCAACAAACCACATTTCTGCTCCAGCTGTTTTTTAATATGTCCCAAAGCAGGCTGTGAAAACACATTTCCTCAGAACAAAGGAAGCACCTTTGTATCTGAATACCTTCTGTCCTGAAACAGAATCTCAAACTCGGTTCTACTGCTCTGAGTAGGGCATTTCTACCATTTTCTCTTTATTCCAATTGTGTTTATTGCCCATCCTTTACAATCATGGTCTGCAGTGTACAGTTAGGCCTGCACATTCTTTGAAAAGTGTGTGGTTCTCTTGTGCCCCCCTTCATTTCTCAGAATATATTAACTGGACCACAGTGCATTTCTCATGTGTCGTTTCCCCCCCTTGGCACACTGTGTATGTTTTTGCGCCACAACTGATTCAGAGTGTTTGCTCTTTCATATTGTGTTGCTTGCAGTTAAGCCTTCTGGTGATTTTGCATGTCTCTCTTCTTTTTTTAAAGTATTCATTTTTTTCTTCTACTTTTGGACATACCAAGGTTGCTTTCCCGGAGTGAATTCACAACATGATGAATTGTTATTTGTGCTGTTGTTAAGACATGTGAAACTTTTGTTACTAGAAATGCATCTTCTTCTCTCAGATAATTTGATTCAGTGTGATATCTATTTATGCTGTTTCTGGTTGAATTGTACGTGATCTTTTCAATCATTCTTTTGCAAGATTCTTATCAATCTGACTCGTTCACTTGCAGCAGAATATTACAGGCCTTACTGCTGTTTTCTTTTCCCAGGAGAAAACTGACAGTTTATTGATTTTTCTCACCTGTGTCTTTTATCCCATACCTGTTTTGTCTTTGTCATCTTTTGATACATAAGAATGTTTTTTACATTGATTCCTCATATTAGTTTAGTGTTATAATTATAAAGATCGTTTTGTGTTTACAGGATATGGTTAGTATTGTGACTTCTCTCAGTTGGTGCACTGGATAGTTGTTGTTTATCACTTACGTCTGGCAAGCTCAGGGCTCTTCACATAAATTGCAGTGATATTTATTTTTAGTTTAGAGCGGCTGTCATAGAGATCTTAAATCCCATTAATCAATATCTTTAAAACCAAAAAGGTCTTTATTTACATTTCAAACAATAGTGTTTTTCATCACTAATTAAGAACCTGATGGGATAACGACATCAGCTGTCTCAGTGACACTTCTCCTTCTTGTCTCCAGGTTGTTCATGAGATTGACACCCTGACTGGGGACCTGCAGCTGGAGGAGGACCGACTGACAGACAGCTCCAAGACAGACACGCTAAACTCCAGCTCCAGCTCCACCACCACCACCACCACCACCGCCTCCAGCCTGGAGAAAATGAAGATCTTCCCCGATGACTGCATCTTCAGACCACCCGCGTTCTTCGACCCGGTCAACCCTCTGGCGGTCCTGACTGTACTGAAGAAGCCCCACCCTCCCCTGCCTCCACCCAGACTAACCCCACTGCGAGCCGAAGATCACAACATTAAGAATCTGCCTCATCCGACATTAGTGTTATCAGGGAATGTATCCAGGGCTACCGGGTCTCTAATGAGGAATGGCGGGGCTTTTCAATTTAAACCAAACCGGGATTTGTTCTCCTCCATGCCGTGTTTCATTGCTAATGACAGTGGAATCCCTGAGTCGGGTCTTGTTCCTACATTACCCAGGCCCATGCCTCTTCTCCGCCATGAAAAGAACAAATGCCGGAAGGCCCCTGGCAGGGAGTCTCGTGAGAGGGAGCGTGTACGTTTCAATGAGAAGGTCCAGTACCATGGCTACTGCCCGGACTGCGACCTCCAATATGATGTAGACGACACAGAACTACATTTACAGGCCGAGCTGAACAACATGAGGCTCAGCCCGGTACATTTTTGCTCTTCGTACTCCACTCCTCATGCTCTTCCTCATGAACTAATGTTGGAAAATGGCGGCCTCTCGGTCAGCCACAGTTTCCCGCCAACAGCAAACACACCTCTACCTTGTGTGCCTCCTCACATGCCTTCCCACAAGCCCCAGAAAACAATCCTACGCAAATCAACCACCACCACGGTTTGACGCCGAACCCCCTTGTTCTGTTTACTTTCATCGTTTTTTCTACTTTATGAGCGCTTTGTACTCCAATTGAACATTGGATTATACAAACCGAGAGAGCAGGAGTTGGGAAAAGCGTGGATATAAAGTGAGTGGAAGAAAGAGAAAGGCACCGCCATGGGCGCTGAGACGTACACAGAGAGATCAGGAAGAAGCGGTGAGTGTTTGTGCATGTATTAGTGTGTTTGTCAGGAAGAGAAAGGGAGGAAGAAAGAGAGAAATTGTATGTGTGCATTGATGCATATCTGTGAGTCTGACTGCATACATGTTATTTGTTTATGTCCTGTATATTCATGTATGTGTACAGTATGTGTGTGCAACGGGGGATGTTTAACGAGTCTCAAACTCAGGAAGTTCTTTCCGACATGGGCTCTGATTAATTAATGTCCTTCAGGATGAAACAAGAAAACCTGCTTCCCTTACATTTAATCAAAAGCCTTACATATCATCTCATACACTAGCACCTGCACATTCACATGTAAAGTCAGTCTCCTCACACTAGGCCAATATAGAAGGCACCCACATCTAAGTTGTTGCAGAGAATTAGTGTCATCTTCACACAAGCCTCCCAAGATGAACAGTAACGGCTGAAAACTGAGGAATAGAAAGTGAGTTCATACTTCCTTCACCGCCTCTTGTCCCATTTTGCTGTGTCAGCTGTGGGAGTAAATGACATGAGAGTGGCATGGTGGCTGAGCAAGAAGTGTTAGACGACAGAACTGCCATTTTGATTTGTGTCTACTGATAGCTTTATAGCGAATTGTAATTTAAAGAATCTTGCTTATCATTGTCTAATATCATTTCATGTTTAGCAACTCAGCTCCCATTTGTCCAGTCCCCCACTATCACTCAGTGTGATATTTGTGAGACAACGTGAGCAGAAAGCTAATAGATTCTGCTCTTGCGTGGAGAGATTCAGGCACAGACATGCTGGACTTTATTTCTTTATTACTTTATTTCCGCAAGGTAATATAAATCAGCAGTAATATCGCTGTCATCGTCTATATAAGCAGTTTGTTTTCTCCACTTTATTAGCATGTTTAATGAAGCCAGTTTAGCTTTGTTTATTGTGCAGTTTGTCTCTATTTTGACAAATGTATTGCATTCAAAATACAAGTGTGGAGAGGTGGAGAGAGAGTATGTTACCATGACTGGGCAAAACAATTACACTAATGGAAAGTGAAAAAGGCACCCAGATGAACTGATAAACAAAAAGGCCACAAAGCTAAACATCTGCCGGCACGATAATCTTATTTGTCTGTTTAGAAAACGTTAAAATGTAATATTTGAAATGGTGATAAGCAATTCTGGTGTCACACCCCTAGTCTAAAATCAGTTTTTAATTGAGTATCAAGCAGTCTTTAAGTGCGTATGTGCACTGTCTTTGTGTGTGTGTGTGTGTGTGTGTGTGTGTGTGTGTGTGTGTGTGTGTGTGTGTGTGTGTGTGTGTGTGTGTGTGTGTGTGTGTGTGTGTTTTTTTCATAATGGATGTTCAGGTTTCACTAATGTGTTAATGTTTTTTTAAAAAAGGTCTCAGTAATGGCTTGGAGAGTTGCTTAAAAAGTTGTGTAAAAGCACATGTCAGTTTGGCAGACTTGGGGAGACAGCATGCCCTGGAGATGGATGAGAATAGTAGCACTTTCCTTCTAGCGATGCCCTTAATTAGCCGGATTAGACTACAGGAGATAACAGTACTGCTCAGACAGCCTTTGTACCAACATTACCCTCAACAAAGCTCTGAACCGCTGCAGCTGCACTTATATTGAATGATAAACGGACAGAAAGAAAAGGGAGAGAGAGAACGCTAACTAAAGTAAGTGAGAAAAGGTAAAGAAGTGTGTGTGTGTGTGTGTGTGTGTGTGTGTGTGTGTGTGTGTGTGTGTGCGTGCGCGCGCGTGTGCGTGCGTGCGTGTGTGTGTGTGTGTGTACGTGCGTGCATTCGTGTGTGTATATGTTCAAAGTTGTGGAGGTCGGAAGCCTAAAAGCTAAGACTGATGAAGTCAGGGTATGAAAAAGCACCCACTTATGAGTAAATCTAATGCACGACCTCGTTGACCTTCAAATCTAAAATTACCGTCCGGATTAGGGATCAGTGGATATTCAGCCATGAGAAAAACAAGTAAGAGAGTGTGGTGGGTGAGAACACAGAGGTGGAGAGAAAGTGTGGCAGAGAGAGGGAAGAGAGCATGTGTGATGGGGGGAGGCAGAGAGGGAGACTGTAAAAGACGGTGCTGCGGTGAAGGCTGATGCTGTTTTGGTTGTATTGTATGCATATTGTAGTGTAGAACAACTGCTGTATTTACCTTGTGTAAATGGATCTTAATGAGTCACTCGGCATGCTATAGAGTGGAGTGCAGCCAGTATTTTTTTTTTGTTTAGCCTTTATTTATACAGGTGTAAAATCTCATTGAGACACAAGGTCTCATTTTCAAGAGAGACCTGTTCAGGGGTAACACTACCACACAACGTTACGAACAGACAGGACACTAAACACAGAGGCAACACTAAAATAAAACATCGTAAAAAGTAGTCATTGAAATCCATATACAGTAGTCAGATATTGCAGGTGCAAACACCCACAGATGATTTCTCCAGCTTTTTTAAAATGAGTTTAAAATCTGTGATTGGTATCAAACTGGTCAGCTTAAGTTCCTGCTGAAGTGTGTTCCAGGTCGAGGGGGCAGAGTATGATATGGCTTTTTTCCCAAGCTCCGTGCGTACTGAGGGGACGGACAGAGTGATGTAATTTTGAGATCGTAGTCTATAGCTGTACTGTTTGTGTGATATGTAAGTGGATATCTAGAGGGGCAGCAGTCCAAGCATAGCGGTATAGATGAGTTTGTACCAGTGCAGTGATCTGCGCATTGATAATGATGTCCAGTTGACTAAAGAGTACAGTGTGTGAGGGGTTTACAGTTGGTTATGAACCTCATGTATTATCAATACATGCAGCTCAGAAGGGCTTTTGCTATTGTAGCACTGACTTAGTAGCTATGTACTATTCAATTGACACAGTGGCCTTGGCATTGTATCGTTTACAGAATACACTGGAAAACGGAGTTCTGCACCTCGTTTCTTATCCCTGGGCGTGTCTGTCTTTTCTCTCTGGACGTTAGATTTAAGGGTTTGAACTGTGTTAGGAAATATAAGGTTAAATTAATTATTTATTTAGGTCAACAGCCACCTCACTGAAGCAAAAATACCTGGATGATATGTACATGTTGCAACTCAATAGTTAAGAATGCCTTAAAAATGTTGACACCTTTGATCATTTACATTGATGGACATTGTAGTGGTTTTCAGCTGGTATCGTTTAAAGAAAATGTTCCACTTGATACCATTAGTTTCCCCCATATATTTAGTAGGCATGCTCACCCTTATTGGGCAGTTTACAGTGAAGAAGCAGACAGGGAACAGGGGAGTGGGGGAGTATGACGTACTTCAAAGGTCAACCAGCTGAAATCAATATGGTATTGGTTATGTTGCATGCGCTGTGGTGTAGAATTCTTAAGTGTTAAATATTGCTCAAACACAAGCAGATTAACAAAAACGTTGCCTGAATAAAAGAGAGTTGACAGATTATGACCAGATGGACCAAACACTGCTGGCTTTCTGTAATCAGACTTAATTTGATGCTAGGGGATTAGGGCAAAATCTAGTAACTCAATTCTATCCACAATGTCAAGCCTATTGTTGCACTTTTAACAATATAAAATGTCAAGACATATCCTGCTTTTTAATCTCCCCTATGCTGTTACATTTTATTGTAGATAACATAATAAAGGTAATTATTTTCACATAAATCAGTTCAAACCTCATATTATGTCCATGATTTAATGGCCCTCACAGCGGGAGGAGGGAGAAACTATTATGAAGTGTTGTGCCGGCTGACCACCCCTTGTTCCAAAATGGGCCCCTGATGTTTGTATTCATCATTCACTGTGTCTCCAGGACTTGTTATCAGATTGTTCCTGTACCACAGGAACCACTGCTCCTCTGACCATGGATGTAGGAGTTTTTCACTGTTTTTGGAATGGCTATCTGAGCTCCAGTGCTCAAGGCTTGAGGATGAAGTTGTACTGTAATGGGCAGGGAGGAGGTGGATCTCCACCGCCTCCATCATGAGTCAGGACTGACTCAATTGCACTGACCTACTCCCTACAGCTCCAGTTCATAGCCCACATCTCTCTCTCTCGCTCTCTCTCTCTCCTTGACTTGCTCTCTCTCACTCTTTCTTTAATTTTTTCTTCCTCTCCCCTTGGATGATGCTTTACTCCCACTCAGGCAGCAGCTGTATGCATAATCTCTTTGCGCAGATGTAGCTCTATTATGTGGGTGAAGTATCTATTAGCATAGCATATCTGACACTTCGTACAACAACACCTTTGGCAAAATTTCAATTTTTGACTGACTTCTTCTTTCTAGAGCTGCAGCACTCTCTCGATCCTTCGCTTCCTAACCTTATATTACTAACAGCCTTCGTGAGAAAAATAAATAAAATCTTCTCCTGGTTGTTATGTTTCTGTTAATAAATAATAATGTGAAGTAGATCCTCCATTTAAAGGTGTTTGCTCATTTCAACCCCACGTCCTGCTGGTGTCACTTCTTCCATAATTAGTGTAACATCTCATATGGTTGGATTGTTACAGTTATATTTGTAAATGTAAACCTGTTACTCTGATGTCTCATTATAATAGTCACATGTTTGCTTTTAGTTATTCCTCTAACTTTATTGTCTTTATCCTTTTTTCCAACCTGGCATGTCCACACTACAGTGTGCAAAAAAACTCCACAAATGTGTCAGAGTGAGACACATATTTTGCCAGTGAATATTAATTAGCTGTTGTTTCTCCATCTGATTGTTAGTGGTGATAGTCTGCCATGAGACACACTTGTCTATTTGCTTATCCCTTTCTGCATGCATCATTTACTTTGATTTGTGTTTCCCTCAATGGAGAACAGTTCATTATGATCATTGAAAGTGAAAATGTTATGAGGAAAACATTAAACAAATGAAAGCTAAATAATTATAGTGGTGCGTGCCAGAGGCTTTACCTCTGTAATAGAGATACAATATGCCAGGTTCATTAGAAAGTGACCTACATTGCCAAACATTCAAAAGTAAATCTGGTGCACTTTGGGCATGGATAGAGGCTTGTCTTGGTGCTTCTTTTTCGGTGACTCAGACAAAGTCATGATGTGGGAAAGTGAGTGGGCATGTTTGTGTGTCCTTGTCAAAATGTGTGTGCACACTCATATGCATACATTTTAATGTTAAAGAGAGGCTTGTGCATTTAAATGTGCATGAGAGTGCAAAAGGCATGCAATAGCACATGCAGCCATGTGTGTGAGAGAGTCAAAGGGCTTGATATGGCTCAGTGCAATTTACAAAGCTTTGGGGATGAACAAACTTAATGTGAGGATTTCACGCTGCTTTGGAGATTGTTAAAAGTTAGAAGCATCAGCTGCACCTTACCCAGGGAAGATACATAATATCTCAACAACAGGATCAGAAGAGCCTCAAGGATCCAGATGGGGTTCTCTGCTCATTGAACCACTGCAGACTTGACTAAGAAAGGCTGGGAAAATGGCAGCTATTTACGGAGAGACACAAAGCTTTTCACAAAAGGGAAGGCTTTTTAATCCATGGAGGAAAATATGCCAAACCTTTTAACTTTGACGATTTGTGTGAGTGTGTGTCTGGGTGCTTGTGTATTGGCAATGATACCTTGGTATATTTGCATTTTGCTGTGAAAAGCGACTGTGACTGTTCTGTCAAAAGTCTCTCCTCATTTGCAGTTAGAAACTCTCACTAATGTGATTCCTCTTTTTCCTCTCCAGGGCCCATTGAGATACTTGAGATACGAGTGGAAGGGATGCTTGTTCCATACACTGATCGACCCTGGTTGTCCGAGGCACGAGGAGCCAGAGCTGAGGCCAAGCATCTACCTTTATTTATTTTTATAAATCGCTAACGGATTTCAATCACCAGGAGATCATTTAGACACTTATAGACTTTAAGAGCACTGAACAACCTCCAGGCATAACAGTGTCAGGGCGATATAACTGTGAAACTGGGCATCAGTAAGTGTGAGTGTAGATGAATTTATAGAGGAGGAGATATTTTTGTTACATAGAAATAGCTGTAATAAAGATGAGAAAGCTGCTGAAACCCTGTCACGAAAGTAAAGAGGCAGGTTAAGATGAAGAGGTACAAGATGGCGTGAAATGATGTCGGCCAGTATTTGATTGATGTCTTCACAGACTTTTGCTCTGTGCATACTCAGATAGAAATCAATAGCTCCACTGAAGCAGTGGAATTTGCCTTTTAAGAATTGTAATTGTTTGCCGGCGAGTGAGCTTCTCGACTGCAGATAAGGAGAAAAATGACATTTGGTCAGTGTACGCCATGGTCAATCATAGTGTATTTTTTGAACGTTTTGAAATAAATGGAGATGTGGTCGCTGATCTGTGTCCAGACATGTTCACCGTACATCAAAATCTATGTGCTCTGGTGCCATGTAAGATACGTTTTGTAGAAATACATTAGTGCCATAGTTACAGCTTTAAAAGATCGTTGAAGAAGTAATAATTTGCATCAAATTTTCTTTGTATACAAATACACATAAACATGTTTGGTATCTATATATTTCAGGCATTTTTCTACAGAGACTTTAACATTTAAAGAGATGATATTTTTTATATTGTGTGGGATGACTGAGAGGTATTTTGACGAAAGCTGACATTCCCTCAAGGTGCGTTTTTTCAGCAGGGTATAGCATGATGAGTTATTTATATATAGCAACAGGATGTTGTTAGTATGGATGAAAACAAGTGGTTCAGTCATATCACTTTAAGAAACTTGACAGAATGGGCTGTAGTGTGAGAAGAACATGTAAGGTAGAGAAGATTAAAGGCGTAAACCAAATACCTAGTTGTGCTTTATCACACGGTAGAACTGGGGCTGAATAAATGCATGACTGACTCTACACTTTGTCCTGCCATCACTGTGTTTTTCTATGCATTTCTGTGGAGAGGCTGTCTGTTGGTTGCTCCAACATGCAGGTTGCTCTGCTCTCTATAATACAGAGTTAAGCAGCACTCCCCCTCATTTCCTCATATGAAGTCGCTGCAGCCACTTTAAAACTGTCAAATGTCTACTTTGCTTGGACCAATCAAATACTGACAATAATACATTTTATTTGTATAGCACTTTATAAACCAGAGATTATAGAGTGTGCCATCAGGACAAACTGATAATAACATTTGGAAAGGTACACTGGAGAGCAACAACACGGCCTCTCTTCATATTCAGACGGGAGGCATCACACTTCTAAACTCCACCTCTTTGTTCTCACTGGACACAGAGACTGAATTCATGAATGAATCACTCTGGATCAATGAGTTTTATAGACTGTCTGAAAAAAGCTTTCGGTGATATTTTGTCGTGTTTTCACAAAATGTTGGAAAATACCTTGTGAGAAGTAAACACTTTACACTAAATGTCAGCGTGTCTGTGTATTTTATGGACCGAATGATTCAAGTGCAGAAATTGTTGATTTGATGTCTTTAGCATTAGCTGTGGTCTTGAAAAAGCATCTTCACAGTGTCAAGTCTTTGTGAACTGTGAGTTAAATAGAAGAAATTAAACCGGCTTCAAGATCATCACCCTTAATCCAAGCTACCAAAACACAGTGTGATGAAACCTTTCAGAAAGAGGAATATCCTACATGAAATGGCACCAGCAGCTGCATCAGTTAATTGAAGATTAGTGTGATGAGATAGCAGGCTGGCGATGCTAAAGGCCATCAGCTGTCTCCAGAAGATATTCCAATTAATTCACAGTGACTCATCATGATCGCACGCAGTAATAAAACGGGCCAAAGCCAAATCTCCATGCCTTAAAATGTAGGACAGGGTCACAGGATAGCAAATACTGGAATGTCACAAAATGGGCATAGACAATTTGCATGGGAATAGTACATCTTTAGCTCACTGTTTCGTATGCTTGGGCGAGATGGCAACAAACTCAAAAAAGTTAAAATGGTAAAGGAAGGTTTCACCGGGCAGCTCTCAGGATATGTAAATGAAAAAATGTTGCTGAAGAAAGAAAAGCTTTATGTTTTTAACAACTTGGCAATAATCATTGGCATTATTGTCAATGTTAGCAGTTAAAACATACTAATTATTATATTCACAAAACAATGAATGTATTGTAATGCTCATCATATTCTGAACTAACTCCAGTGACAGGTCTATAAACCAATGGACCACAGGGCATAGTTTGGAAAACAAATTGATGTTACATCACCTGTAGCTACACTGAGTTAAGGCAGTCAGTAGGTCCTTGAAAAATAAGTATTTTGTATTGACTATAGTCTAATTAACCTACATTAACCCTGCTTGTAACAGTTCATTAAAATGCTTTTCCATCTCCTTTTGTAAGCCTTCACATTTTCATCAATTAGTATGCATAGCAGCATGCATCATGCATGAACTGCTCATTTATTACATGTTTTGTGCATGGATGCTAGGTGTAATTACTCTTGCAGTGTGTGTTTAGAATGCTGTCGGCTACAATGAGATGCTATTATTGGCTGCGGTTCACCATCAGTAGCTTTTAATTAATATAGTGGGACTTTAATACTCCTCTTCTCTCATTATGATGCACTTTTGTTACATTTTAATCCAACTCCTGCAAATCCTGGGCCACCTACAGCACCTTCTGGTGATGCATGATCAGGCTCTCCTTTTTTTCTCAGACAAGCCGAGTGATGCTGCTTTTTTTAAACAATACAACTAAAAACAAAAAGGCGTTGCCGTTTACGTGTGACAGAATTGGGGTTGGAATTGGCTGTATGTTAAGGGGCTCAAGCTAAAATCTTGCAGGTGGCTCTCCATACATGGAACCAGCTACAATCAGCCTGTAGCAATATTGTCCAAACGCACCCACTCCAAGGGCAAACACAGGGTGCGTTTGTTTTAATGCACAGCTCATCCGGATGGAGAACGTTCCATCCGCAGGAGAGCTGTAATGACGTCCCCGCCCAGTCGTGCTGGTCGCGCTGTACACAACAATGCGGCTTCTCAGTCGGTCACATTACAGGGAAGAAAAAGGAAAGAAAGTACGAAGAGAGATAAAGGAAAAACAAACGACAGTGATTTTATCTATATGACAGGCGGTGGCGTCGTTATCTCCAGGTAATTCATAGTTATTTACCACAATACTGCCATACATGTGGGTCTGACTAACTGCCAGTGCAAAACTGTAGGTGCTAGCTAGTGCTCAGTCGAAAATGCTGACGCCAGATGCTCATTTGTATTCACGAAAGACGCCTAATGCGTTAAGCTAGTTAACACAGAGATACACTTTCTTTATTTCCGGCAGTGTTCATGTAAAGTTTTGTACTACTGAATATGTTAGATGTATCCCGAGATACATTTCCGCAAAGTGCTGATATGTCAAAAGCTTGTGACCATTCCCAGAAAGCAGTCAGCAGTCTGAATCATTCGTCCAAACTATTGTTGCTAGCAGAGGTGGAAAAAACTGCTCATGTGTGACATGTTAGCCTCTCATGTCTGAGACAAACTTGGCTTATTTGCCACAAGCTCTTGTACAAAACAGAGACACTACGATCTGATTGATAATACCAGCAGTTTTGGAGTAAGTGTGTGTAACATCTCTTTCTTTTTATTTGGAGGGACAGAAAAACCCAAAAGAAGATGGAGACATGTTAGTATTGAGCTTCAGATGTGACAAGAGGACAGTGGTGGCTATGAGATAAACACGTAAGTAAAAACTAAATTAACACAACATGCAGTAGCTACAACACAAACGCAATTGCTATATAAGGTCATAGAAGAAGTAACACCATTATCCAGTGCTATAACTTGTTAACAGATTAGTTGGATTAGTTGTTGTTTACAAAGAGGGAAGGCTGAGTCCTAGTTTACAGTTGAACATGTGATTACACAGCAGATAACACAACACATTTTAGGCCTATATGGGCATTGAATCGTTTTTTATACTACAATATGGTTTTACTGTAGCAGAACCATGCCAGAGGTTATGTCTATGCACCTTTAGTGTTACGGGTAAACAAAAACAAAGGTGTTTGCACTGCCATGAAGGCTGGCAGGAGGACTCAGAAAGAGGAGACCAGAGAATGTAGGTTGAACCTCGGCAAACATCTTCCCCTCTAAAGTTCCCAGGAGTCCAACCCTTTTTGTTTTGTACCTTACCCTTTGTGCTGACCTTTTTTAACAAGAGACTAGCAAATAAACTGTTCCGCCTACTGATCATAAAACAACTCACATCCTTTAATATTATATTACCATGTCAATAAACTGAAAGTAAACAGCCAGCAGCACTGAGGGCAAAGAGTAAGCAGGTTCTTCTTTGAGTAAACACTGATTAACACACAATATGGAACTAATATTAAGCCAAACCTGCTGGAAGGAAAAGCCACAGAGTCTTGTGGCATCCTTGAACTACATTACTTTAGCGTAGTTAATGCGTTTTAATGCACATCTTTCTGGACTATTATCTCTGTTCATTGCTATGCTTCTCTGCAAACATGTGCATATCTCCTTGAATATATACTTGCACATTCTGCCTAGCTCTTTCTTTGTATACAGTTACATTGTGCAATTGAATTGACATTAAAAAAAAAGAAGAAAGTGTTCTACTTTATATTAATGTTTCTTGTCTCTGACCAATATACCATAGCAAATTCCTTGTATGTGAAAACCAACTTGGCAAAAATATTGGAGTCTGAATATTGAGTAATCCCTTTGGCTTTCATTTACAATGTTCCAAGGTGTATAAACAACCAGCTGAGGAAAAGTAGGAGGGAAGAAGATGAAGCTGAACGAACGCAGCGTGGCGCACTACGCCACCTGTGACTCACCGCCAGACAAGACAGGCTTCCTGTTCAAAAAGGGTGAGCGCAACACAGCGTATCACCGGCGCTGGTTTGTCCTGAAAGGAAACATGCTCTTCTACTTTGAGGAGCGCGAGAGCCGAGAGCCCATCGGTGTCATCGTCCTTGAAGGATGCACCGTGGAGCTGTGCGAGTCAGCCGAGGAGTTCGCCTTTGCCGTCAAGTTTGACTGTGCCAAAGCCCGGGTGTACAAGATGGCTTCTGACAACCAAGCAGGCATGGAGTCGTGGGTGAAAGCGTTGTCGAGGGCCAGCTTTGACTACATGAGGCTGGTGGTGAAGGAGCTGGAGAGGCAGTTGGAAGAGATCCAGGAGGCAGCAGGAGGAGACTGCGTCGGGGCTGGAGGCCTGCAGGGCAGGTCCAAGCCCTCCAGGAGACACCAAGTTTCACGGTCCAGATCAGGAGCATCCTCTTCTTCATCTTCATCATCTACATCCTCCTTATCCTCATCATCAGGGGCCCCTCCCATGGCAGTCAACTATTCTGCCCAGAGGAGCTTCCAGGATGAGGTGCAGCTCATGTCTGATTGTCCCAAGGAGAACGGAGTTGCGTGGAGTAAACCAGCAGTCTCATTGGCTAACGGCTTTGCTGAGGAAGCGTCCTCCTGTGCGGCCTGGGAGGCCTGCTCAGACTCTGGGAGTAACAGTGGTCCAGGGGCCGATGGGGTGAGGGCTCCACCGGTGCCACGCAGGAGACGAGGAGCCTCTCTGGAAAGCCCCGTCTCCCCTGGCACCGGCTGCTTCTCCAAACTCCATGACTGGTACGGCAAAGAGGTGGAGGAAGTGAGAGTGCAGTGGCTGCAGAGCAAGTGAACTTATTGAGATAGGTTATATCTTTTTCCACAGTTTTATTATTCCTTCCTGATCATTCTGCGACCCAACAGACGGGCGACAAAACTGAGACCTTTTTTGCACATTGCAGTCTTATCACAGATAAAAAAAGACAAATAGATTACTAGATTGATTCCATATCTTGGCTGGCACAGGGGAATCAATCTTTCTTAAACATTAGCACTATCCATTGTACAACGCAACACATTTTAATCACAGTATGCTAACAGGTTTGAATGTCATTTGCCAACGACAATTATAAATATTTGAGAATTAAAATGGTAATCATTTATTAAAAGCATCAGTTTTTCTGATGCTACACTTAATTTAGAACTACGCTGTTTTATTTTTACATTGCCAATTTTAAAGAGTTCTTCTCCATTCCTCTAGCTTACACATATTCCAAACATATGCAATTGTATTGGGGTCAGATCTCATTAAAGCTGAAGCAACCTTGATAAAGTATGTTCTCTATATGTTTACATGCAAAATCCGGTGCTAAGCAACTGAAAATACATAAAAATAACTGCTTAAATCACCACATCAAGGTTTATTATTGATCCTAGCCCGTGATGGTAACAGTGTGTTCTATGCAAATGAAATAAAGAAGGCCACACAAGTAACAATCTGGAGACATTGCGTAAAACAAATCCTAATCCATGGATCAGGTTGCTATAGTCACACGTTATCTGCAGCATACAGAGGAGAAAGATAAGAGGAAATCCTGTTGCTTTAAGATTGATGATAAAATGATGAAATAGAGAAAGAGCACTGTTTGTACAGCTGATGACATTTTTATAATCTCATGGCAAAGGCACCAAGACAATTAACATCAATCCAGTTCAGCATTTCCAGCTTCCTGTAACTTCCTGTAACTTTGAGATAAGAAGTAGTGTCAGGGAACACTAGACCAGTTTCCGCACATCTCGACCGAGAGAAGTTGCGGCGGCTAAGGTCATCCTCTCGACAGTGGCCGTGGTGGAGCTGCATGTCTCGCTCAGAGCTACACACTTGTATTTTTAGCCTTTGTTAGCTTGCGGCCAGATGATGCTGTGTCACAAGAGTACGTGTCACTTAGTTCTCGTTTGACTCTTGGATTTCATAGAAGGAGATGTTTTGTCTTGTCTCGCAGGAGTTTTTTTATTTGCCATAGTTATTATGTTATAATTCCTTTTTTTTACAATCAAATCATTTTAATTCAGTCATACAGTGTGTTGTGACATGTATGTGAACATTTAACCTCTTGGTTTGCATTTCAATATTTTGCTCTTCCATGTTGGAAAATAACACCAGCAGTCTTGGGCCTTTTTTAAATGATTGTGTTACTATAATTATTTTGTATTTCTATATTCAATCACAAAGCATTCTTGATTTATATTTGCCATATGTTAACTTTATAACTCTGGTATTGTACTTGCAACCATTGCCACTGTGTTGAGAGGGTTACTGTACTGCTGCTATTCTTTCTTCCTTTCTTTCTTTCTATCTTTCTTTCTTTCTTTGTAATCACTTTTGACAAGTCTGCATCATTGCACAGCGCTATCGTTTCTCTACACTTGACTTGTATAGAAATGACAATGTGGGGAGTAGTGGTAAAGTGTGGATGTTTTTTTACAGCTACATCAAAGTGGTATGCTCTTGACATGATTTCAACAAAATTATACTCGTGCCAATTTTATGAACTCCAGAAGAGCACTCCTGTAATTATAGATGACAAAAGTCGGTTTTTAATAATAACAATATGTAAAGAAATGTGTCAAAGTGTCAAACGAACCGTATTATTATTTTTTTCTCCAAAAGTGCCAACAGAGAAATGCAATCTAAATTCACGTTATTAAAATGGTCAAGGCTCTCTTTCTCTATTGAATTCCACAATCGTAGTCAAGTATTTAATGTTCTAGTTCACAATATGAGTATTATTTGAAATAACCAATGATGTTGTGGATTTGACACATTTTTCTGATATGGTACCATGAAAAGAGGTTTGTTTATAAAGAATTGAATGTAAACCCTTAAATAAACAGTGTTAATATGTTATGATGTGAACAGTTGCGTGTCATTACGATATCTGACTACTTAAGTTTAGTTTCTTCTTCGAAATATATATATTTTTAATTAGTATGGCTGGTTTAGACATTGGATGTTTTTTTCTTCCATATGTGTTACTTTTTCAGAACAGTATGATGGGCAGTGGCGGAAGAAGAACTTAAATGTTTTAATAAAGTAAAAGTATAAATACTACAGCGCAGATGTTAATTATATTCTTCATTGATAAAACATAATGGTGATTTAACCTATGATAAAAGCCCATTACATTTGCATGAATAAGAACTATATATCTGGCCACATTCCCGATAGAAAGCACAAGCTAAAACACTGTGTATATCCCTGAAAAATAATAAACCCATGTAATTACTGCTTGTTGCCATAGATACAAATGCCATAACAGTGATCTCTCGAGATTGTAACTACCAAAAGTGAAATCACTCATAATGCAGAATGTCCCATTTCAGAAGGATATGCTGTATGTTAAATCACTGCATTATAATTATTTATGCATTAATGTCTAATTCACTAATGTTTCGGCTGGTAAAGGTAGGGCTCATTTTCTTTATACACAGCTGGGTAACATCTTCTTTGCATACATGATAATGTAGGATTGTTTTGAAATAAATATATGAAAAGTAAATTAGAATGTAATGGGAAATCCTCAAGTAAAGTACCATTTTTTATTTATGTACACGTACCTGAGTAAATATACCAACATCGCACATCCCCTGAATTCATGTAAAGCCTGGGCAGGCCTCATGAAACCACACATTCTGGTGCTGTTCAGCCTGACCCTCACCAGGTGGCGCTGTGCCACAGTTTGTAGTCTGTTAGAGTATTCTCAAACCTTTCAAGGAATACAAAGAGGCTTTCCTTTTTGCTGGAGATTAGAATGTAAATTACTACTGACAGAACCCAGCAAGTCTCTAGAGTAGAAAAAACATACATTTCCTAATAGATAACCCGTTTGTTTTTATGTTCTCTTCTCTTTTTGTGCAATTTTAAAAACCATAAATACAAAAGACAAATGTGATGCTTTAGGTCCTCTGGTTGCACTATTATCTCATGTGCTGTATTTAGATTGACTGTCAGCAAATATCGCACCCATGGGTCGCACCACCTGAGTTTGAGTCAACAAATGCTCTTTTTAATCCGCCCTTTTTATTGTCCAGTTTAGGCTCCATCATACAAACAGTGTAGGATACTTAACAGTGTAGAATTGACTGTTAAAGCAGTGACAAATATTGACATATTAAAGCTAACAAAGTTAACGTGAGTATCTGAATTCTTGATAGAGTCTGGATCCTTTATGTACTTTACATCTTGTACTGTACTTAACTTCAGTACTTCACTTCCGGTCTGGTTATTTCAACATAAAAGTACATCTTGAATGCATTGCAGAGGTGTTTCTGTTTTTCAAAATATTCAAATATTCAAAATATAAGCAAATAATGTGCAGTTTCTAAGAAAGTAACCTTTTAGGGTTCAACTATTGAGCTCAGTAAATTAACACATTAAGTTGTTTGCATCGTTAATCTATTTGGCAGTTGAAAGTTACAAGTTATGTGGCAGATGGGGGGTTTTAAAATGCATTAATGAGCACATTATATAAAATACATTGTTATATAATGCTGTTTAAATGTGAATGCATTCAAAACAATACAATGTGTAATATAAAATCATTCAACTGACCGTGCCCATTTTGCATGCCGATCAAGTACTTGCACTTTTATGCTTTTATGCTTCTTTTAAGTAGCCTACATTTTGCATTAGTAGCTTCAAGTATAATTTTAAATTAAGGACTTTACCTTCAACACACACATATATAATGGTATTTACTTTGTGGTGAAATGTAACTAAGAATGAACTAATATTAACTATTACTTGAACACTATATGTTTTGAGATATTTGTGCTTTTTGTATTTTCTATGTTATGCTAGTTTATCTACTCTTGAAGCCAATATTTTACTTTAACTGCACTATTTATTTGAGAATTTTAGTTAAATAAATCAATATATTTTGGAATATTATGGATTAAAATACCAGGCCTCTTATTCTGAAAAGATAGCAGCCGGAAGTGTGATTGTGAATTCCCTCTTGACAGCTGGAACGCGGCATATTTTCTTGACAGCGGAAATGAGGAGTCGCCACTTTTTTTCCGCGTCAAGTTCGTTGCTGAAAGTTTTCTTTCCTCTTTTTGTTTGTAGCGGAGGAACTGTGGCGTGCACTCACAATGAGAGAGAAAGCGACGGACTTTTTAACATGCAGCTATTCCAATGATGTCCAGTTTCCCGTTGCTCACCAACGACATCGTTTTGAGTTACTTTAGATGCTTCTCAAAACATTTCCGTTATGCGAAGTCCAACTTGTTGGTTAGTCGTCGTGCTGCGGTGGGTGCCCATCCGAGATAACGGAGAACGTGAGTATGTTTTGAAGACTGTATAATCGTTTCTTGTCTGGGCTGTAACCATCACTAAACTCTTAACCACATGGGGGATAATCCCAAAAATGACGAACTTCCCCAGAAATGTGGACACATGTACTTCTCCCGTCCAAAATTACCCTTTTTTCTTCACAATACATCGTCGAGAAAATGATTAGTGAGAGATTTAAAGGGCTCTGCTTCCCCTCGGTGGGGCCGGGGGTGATGGCGCAGACTTTTTAGCCCCAAAAGTGAACTTTTCTTTTGAGGTCCCGTCATACCGCCGAGCAGGATTTTCTGTCTTTGAGCTGCTGGGCGTCACATCTACAGGGATAGTTGGCACAAAAGATGCACACAGCATGTGGCTTTTGGTGACCTTATAGTAGTTTAATAGTGCGTGTTTGCGTGGGTGCATGCGTGCGTATGTGTGTGTGTTCTCACAACTATTTGGGCGCAAATCTATCAGTGGTTGTTTCCATGGGGATGTCACAATATACAACCTATTGTCACTTATGTGTGATACATGTTAACAGGCCGTACATGGGTTTTAAAAGTGTCTTAACTGACAACATTTTCATCCATAGGAAAAACTAACACATCATTAGTGTGTACTGGAAATGTGAACGTTATGGTTGAATGTGGCAGACGTTGTTGTGTGTTTGGTTAAGCGCCAGAGAACCCCGAACCCCCCATGACTGCAGGATGGAGGAACAGGAACAAGTGGGGAGCAGTCACTGGCTTTCACAATCCTCTGTTGTGTAGCAGTAAATCAAAACACTACTGTGTGTGTGTGTGTGTGCCTGTGTGTGTGCCTCTGTGTGTGTGCCTCTGTGTGTGTGCCTAGATGTGTGTAAAAGAGGATATTCCTTCAAAGTAAAGCCCCCTCTATCTCACATTCTGAGGCAACAGGTGTGGAGTTGTGGTGTTTCCCTAAACAGTCCTGACCAAAACAGTAGTTTGTAGGGAATGGCTTGTATGGATAAAATCTTTTGAAATGTTGTATTTAAGTTGAAGCCATTTCATATTTTCACTCCACAACTTTTCTATGAAAATATTGCAACATTTTTACTTCACTACATTGATTTGCCAGCAGCTTTGGTGGTAGTGACTTTCAGATTAAGATTGTGAAAACCAAAACCTATGATTAACAATTAAAATATGCTTCATTTTCAAAGATTAAACTGTCCAACATTATATAACATAAACAAAATACTTGAATCAGCCATACCTCTACCACAACATCATTATAATGCTATGTTTATGCATCAGTATAATATAATTGAGGTGACAAAAGTCATACCCTTTTTCACATTGCTGATAATACTTCTGCACTTTATACACTTACTTTATAACCCAAGTGAAAAATATACTTGGGATGGCTTCCTCCATGATCTTTTTCAATCACAATTATAGAACAGGCCGTAGATGAAGATTGTCAAATATAATAAGTTCAATGTTAGCTGAATGACTAACATGGATTTTCATTGGATGAACTCTAGTTTTTTAACACTGGCGATTGGCAACAAAGCCACAACTATTCCTTGCTTTGGCTAGCGTTCAAACAATGTTGTACTTTTTATTATTATGAAAAAACAACAGTGTATAATGTTAATGTAAATGGTCGGTGTACATGTGCTGCTCCTTGGGACATATTTTGGCTATTTGGAACAAACTGGATGAGGGAATACTCAATAAGTAATCCACTACTTTTAATACAATATTGAGTTAATATATATATTTGGACAGCCAATACTTCACACAGTACTAGTGTATTATATATTTTAGAAGAAGTTTGCTATTTATTGATTTATTGATATTTATTTATCCAACTCCAATATGACCATCAAGCAGCTTTTCTAGCTGGTTTGCAACATTACCAACATTGACCTAAATACATAAATAAATAAATAGATTTTTAAAGGGATTTCCACCACATTAAAACTGTGATGCAATATTCCCAGCAGCCTGCTGAGGTCTGCATTCTTGTTGTTTTAGTCATTAAGATGTAACTGTTATCCCACCTTGACTCATTGATTTACAACAGAGAAAAAAAACATGCCCCTGGGGTGGGGAAGTAATGCTAGGAAGTTTGCTAGACTGCACATTATATTTTCCGTGGCAGGCAGCTTTAACTCAGTAAACCTCCAACAAAAGGTTCACTATATTTCAAGGTTTCAGTGGAGTCCCAGATCTCTGATTAGCGTTTTCACTCGCAGATTTTTCAGATAAATTTCATAAGAGAGTTTACTTCCTCACAGATTTCCTAGGTTTCTGAAAGTTGGATATTTTGATGTTGTCTTCACTTCTCTTTTGCTCAGTGTGGTATGGACACGAGGAGATCAGTTGTGGCCACCAACGCAGACCATCATAAAAACATTTAAAACTGAAAAAGTAATGCGACTACAAACCACAATCAGAACATCATTTTTTAATGACCTTTAGGTCTGATGACCATGTGAGAAAAATTCCCTTTTTACATTTTCAGCTCTGAAAAAATCTTGGACTCTTCCTAGAGATGGGATGTCGCTTGTTTAGCAAATAATGATATTACTTGGTTGGGGATTTTCTTCTTGGTTAGTGTCTGAGACATCTTTCCTAGAAAGAAAGGACTGCAACTCCTTGGAATTAAGATTTTTAAGCGCTGTGCACATTTGATGTCCACGTTTTGCATATGTGTTGTTGCAGTATGCAAGAAAGAAGTGGGCTCTGCAGTTGGCCCTCAGCCGTGGACCAGACAATGTCATGGTTCAATGTCTTTAACTGAGATTATATCGGATGCCAGCGCTCCTGCTTCCCTCAGGGGTTCCAAGAAATCCAGTGATGAGACCACGAGAGAGGGCTGACCCACAGCTGCCCTGTGGGGAGGTGGGGGGGGGGGCAGAGAAGGAGAATGAGGGAAACCGTTGGAGATAGATTGGCTGATTGTAGACAGGAGTAGGATTCCAACAAAGACAGACGGAAGACACTTATTAGAGCAGAAAATGGCAGAACAAGAAAGCAGTTTTCTTGTGTCAACAGGGGCCTTTTGCAACGCAACACACATGAGATTTAAGTCACATATCTGACCACCCTAAACAGCTTAGCTTGAAAATCTTAACTAATGGGACACAAACACATGATGCATACAGTAGTGTGGAGTTATTGAGTGTGCACGGATTTCTGCAAGCGATGGACACATGCGGGCCTTTGTGTCTTTTCCAAAGCAGCAATAGTTACAGCCAGTGTGTATTTGCGTGTGTTTACCCCAATGCGCTCCTGTTCTTGTTGTTGGAAGAATGTTGATTATAGGCCCGATAAATGGCAACAGAATGAAAATGCTGTTTAAAACATGTGCTTTAAGGCTCTGCATTTGCAATACCTTCGTAGGTGTGTGTTTGTGTTTGTGTGTACACAGTGAGGAAGCAACATGGGGTCAAGAGTTCTGCTTTTGTCATCTTTAGAAAAGAAGCACTCCCTGAATGTTTGCTTTTTAGTCCTGAGAAGTTTTCCCAGTTCTCAGGTTAATGGACCGTTTCAAGCAATATGCCAAATCTTATGTGGTTTCAGCTTCGCAGATGTAAGGATTTATTGCTTTTCTTTGTCAAAAAAAACGTTTTGCCTATTGACAAAACAAGTTCAATGAAGACAGCAAGATGGCCTCTGAGAAACATTTAAAACTATTACTCAAATCAAATGAGATAACAATCAGCAGATGGATCAATGACGATTTTAAGTTGCAGCCGTACATATTACATGTCATTTACATGTCATGTCACATGTCATGATTCAAAGGTTTATTGTCCTAACATATACACGACTACGCAGTAATGTATGAAAAACTTAGATCGCTAAACAGTGCAATTTACAAGACATAACAAAAAAAAACACCCACGCACACACACACACACAATACTTCTTTGTGTTGGTTCCTCCGTTTGTGTGTTTAGCAGAGTCATGTCTAAGTTGAAGTGAAAGAAGGAACACATTGTCACGCAAAATGACCAATTTTCATCATGTCTAATTAGTTTATTCCCAACATTAGCACAGAGAATAAATCCCTAAACAAGATTCCTGTGAGGTTTTTCTGTGAAACTGGAACTCAACGGTCTCCTGATGAGTCTCAATGTGGACAAGTTTATAACTCTTGAATTAGCCTTCCAGGAAGTCAGATGTTTGCAGATGATTCACAGCCGATCAAATTGACAACACACACACACACACACACACACACACACACACACACATACACACACACACACACACATACACACACACACAACATTGATTATCTCTCAGAAATACTATCATGCTTCTTCACAATGAATCAGAAATGAGTACTGATGACTCATTCACAAAGTGCCGGTGGATTTCAGCCAGAGATTTCTGTCGTGCTCTCCCCGGCTGGAACATTTGAGCGTTGAATACTTGAATTGGCTGAATTGTATTGATTTGTCAGCACCAAGTTGTGAATGATGGATTGTTGTTTCCAGCTTTTTCAGAAACTGAGGCTGTGTATGGGTTCCAGTGAGAAGTTGAGGTCAGCTGCCGGTGGCTTTGTAGCCGAGAAACACTCAAACTGTTTAGCTTTTCAGTGAATGAGTATTTCATGTTCTGTAATAACCACAGTCACTCTCTGTTTATTTAGCCAGCGCTTAAAGTATCCCGTTATTAGATTTTAACAGTGTGCATAGTATATGGTAAAATACCTTTTGTGCATCGCAATATTCAGATTACGTAAATGCAGGGCAGAAGTCCTAATAGATGAACTCATTGATTTCAGAAATCAGAATTTGTGAATTTTTTTGAATCAGCATTTGCTATTTTAACTTAAGGAATGGTATATTAAGATTCAGTTTCACCTATTCACCCTATAATGACTGTATTGAATGCCAAAAAAAAAAAAAAATATTATTTATAGAGCTGAAACAACAACTCAACATTAAATGTGTTGCATGTTTTCCATTTGGATGATTTACTTATAGTTTCTCTTTTTATATCATTTTGTTAATGGCATATCT